GTACACAGCAAACTCAAAGACTCAGACCGGATGGACTTTAGCTCGGTGGTTAACTGTTTTTGGTGATGTTCCATGTCTTTGGGCAGACACACGCTCTTGGCCAGGTTGATGGCCAACAGGTGGTCTTTCTCAGCAACGACCAAGTCTGTGTCTAGAATGTCTCGGTCGTTGAAGGTTAATTTCGGTGCCCAGCAGTCGATGGTTCGGTCGGAAGACTCCGTTTTCTTTGTTTATGGTTTATTTGTTTCTCCTTATGTAGTTACTTCAAAGGAATGATCCTGAAAAGTTTGTGAACCCCGGAATCGACCCTCCTAAGGGTGTTCTATGTTATGGTCCACCTGGTACCGGTAAGACACTTTTAGCTAGAGCTGTGGCTAATAGAACTGATGCGTGTTTCATCCGTGTTATTGGAAGTGAACTTGTTAAGAAATATGTTGGGGAGGGTGCCCGTCTGGTTCGTGAACTATTTCAGATGGCACGTTCCAAAAAAGCTTGTATCGTGTTTTTTGATGAACTAGATGCCATAGGAGGTGCACGTTTTGATGATGGTGTGGGTGGAGACAATGAGGTTCAGCGCACTATGCTTGAAATTGTGAATCAGCTTGATGGATTTGATGCTCGAGGGAACATCAAAGTTCTGATGGCAACAAATCGACCAGACACTCTAAACCCTTCTGTTACTAGTGGATCCGTGGTTGGTGCTATTTGATTATATAGTCCATCAAATGTATCATCATGACAGTTTCAGATTTGCAATAGCTTTTTTGTGCTAAAAAAAAAATTGTCTAACTTTTTATGTGCCACCACCAAGGTCGAACACAAGGATGTTTTTCTCACCACCTTTACTGTCGAATCCATAGGCAATAGCTGCAGCAGATGGTTCATTTAAAATTCTAACAACATTCAGCCCAGCAATAATACCAGCATCCTTGGTAGCTTGCCTTTGGGAATCATTAAAGTTGGCTACAAGTTGCAAAAAAAAGTAAAAGGGAGTACCACAACATCCTTGGAAGAGTGGAGAATAATAGTAGTAATTTTGAAGAGTTCTACTCACTAACAACTGTGACAACAGCATCCTTAATTGAATTCCTTCCCAAGGAATGCCTCACAGTCTCCTTTATCTTAATTAGAATCATAGCACTGACCTTCTCAGGGCTAAATACCTTGGGCTTTGCATCCTTAAGCTTAACTTCGATACAAGGCTTTCCATCTTTATTCACAATTTTGTGAGGAACAAGCTTCATATCCCTTTGGACTGTTATTTTGCAATTTTAAAATTGTATTTGATTTATTTAATTTATTTTATTTGATATTTGCATTTTTTTAGGAATAAGTTTATAACGTTATATTAGTTTCCTAATTTTTTGGATTATCCTACAATATCTCCTAAATATCTAAATTGTGGTTATTTAAAGACACATTAATATGTACTAATTGGGCCTCTTTTTTTTGTTTTTTTAATTGTGTATATAATAAGACTTCAAGCCATCATCTAAAGAAGTCAAAATTCCAGCAGCATTCAAATGGTAGAGAGTCCATCTAGCAAAACATTATATCATTAAATCGAGCAATAGTAATTGTTATAAAAAAGGGCATCTAGACAGATAGGTTGATCAAATAGAGCAATAGTTATCAGCTTCAAACTAACGACTAAAGATGACCATTTTCAAATGTAATGATATCATATTTTGCCGACCAAACTTTTGGTCGCGAAAGATAAAAAATAATTTTTTATTTTTCTTTCAGCAACTAAATTATTTTAGTTGCCAAAACTATATATACCGCGACCAAAATAATTTTTAGTCGCTTGAAATTAAGGTTTTGCCGACCAAACTTTTGGTCGCGAAGGATAAAAAATAATTTTTTATTTTTCTTTCAGCGATGAAAATATTTTTGTTGCCAAAACTATATATACCGCGACCAAAATAATTTTTAGTCGCTGAAATTAAGGTTTTGCCGACCAAACTTTTGGTTGCGAAAGATAAAAAATAATTTTTTATTTTTATTTCAGCGACTAAATTATTTTAGTTGCCAAAACTATATATACAGCGACAAAAATATTTTTTTTGTCGCCAATTGTGGCAAATTTAGCAACTAAATTTTTTTTAGTCGTCAATTGTGAGATTTTTAGCGACTAAATTTTTTTTTAGTCGCCAAAAATTAATATACC